GTATAGGTGAGCAGCGACTCGTTGTTGTGCGGTGTGATCTCTTGAGGAAATGTACCCTTGTAGTACATCCAAATTTGCGCGTTTTGCGCTATAAGCTCAAACAAGAAATCCTTCATGCCGAAGACTGTGCTCGTATTGAGCTTAGATGTGGTCAGCTCATATCGAGTCCAGGAGACGTCGATGTGTGTGCCGTGAAGTGCGCCGAGCTGCTAAAAGCCGAACTTATCCAGAGGTCCGAGAGCGAGTATGCGGCGGCCACGGTGGTAGCCTCTTGGACGAACATCACGGGGGACATATAGGCGAAACACATGTGTGGAGATTACAGGGGGTTGAACAAAGTGACCATGCCGGATCGCTATCCTATGCAGTCGCACGGAAGAGATATTCGATAAACTGCAGAAGCCTCGGTTTTCTCTACACTAGACCTCAGGCAGGGGTTTAACCAAATTCAGATAAAGGAGGAGGATCGCAAGAAAACGGCGTCCCATAGACCGGACGGCCAGTACGAGTGGATAGTGATGCCGTTTGGCATGCGGAACGCTCCGGCCGTGTTCCAACACACCATGGACAGCGTCATGCAAGGGGTGCCCGCAGTGGCGTGTTACATAGACGACGTGATTATCTTCAGTGCAATGCCGGAGCAGCATATGAAGGATGTGCAGGCAACATTGAAAGTCATCAAGGGGGAGGGGCTGATATGCCACCCGAAGAAACGCAAATTCGGGAGCCGAATAGTGCAACACCAGGGTTTTGAGATCAGAGATGGGCACTTGGGAGTGCAGGAGGCGAAGGTGGAGGTACTGTACCGAGTGCCGACACCACAAACCGTTCCTCCCCGCAGGTAGTACTGGGTTTCCTGGGGTACTACCGGTGGTTCGTGCCAAACTTCAGCAAGACCACATCCGTGCTGAACAGGCTGCTAAGGGAGGAGCAACAGTGGCAATGGGGGAAGGAGGAGCAGAAGGCACTGGATACTCTGAAGCAGGCGGTGAAGACAGCCACGGTGCTCACCTTACCCAGTAAGGAGGACCCATTCACACTATACACTGATTGGAGCAGTTCGGGAACGGGAGCGATCCTGTGCCAAGAGCAAAGGGGAGAGGAAAGAGTTGTCAAAATGTTATAATGTTTAGGTTGTGTAGGCTGTAGTGGGGTAGCCCATAAGGGGTACAACCCAATTAGGGTTAGTACTTGTACTCACTTTGATCTCAATGCATTCATTCCCGTTCAGTATTTTGACAAGGTTTCAGAGCAGGTCCTGTCCCAGGACGTTTGGTTTTTAGGGCCCACGGTATAGTTCGCTGCCCGTAGCGCGTTACCCTACCCGTAGCGCCCTACCCTGCCCGTCGCGCTGCCCCACCAGTTGCGCTGCCCTGTCTGCCCGTCACGCCGCCCTGCTGGTCGCGCGCCGCCCTCCCCTGCCCGTCGCGCTGCCCTGCTAGCGCCTCGCCGCCCTGCCCTGCCCGTGCGCCGCCCTGTAGACCGCCGCGCCGCCCTACCTTGCCCGTCGCGCCGCCCTGCTGGCCGCGCGCTGCCCTGCTTGCCCGTCGCGCCACCCTGCTGGTCGCGCGCCACCCTCCCCTGCCCGTTGCGCTGCCCTGCTAGCGCCGCGCCGCCCTGCCCTGCTAGCCTGCGCGCCGCCCTGCCCTGCCTGCGCGCCGCCCTGCACTGCCCGCGCGCTGCCCTAGTGGCCGCCGCACTACCCTGCCCTGCCCGCGCGCTGCCCTACTGGCCGCCGCACCGCCCTGCTCTGCCCTGCCCGCGCACCGCCCTGCCCTACCTGCGCGCCGCCCTGCTGGCTGCCGCCCTGCCCTGCCCTGCCCGCATGCCACCCTGATGGCCGCCGTCCTGCCCTGCCATGCCTGCGCGCCGCTCTGCTGGCCGCCGCCCAACCCTGTCGATTGCGCTTCCCTGCCCTAGCCGTGCGCCGCCCCGCCCTGCCTTTCACGCTTCCCTAGCGCTTGTGCGCCGCCCTGCCTGTTGCGCCGTCCTTGCTTGCGTGTTGCTCTGCTGCTCGCGCGCCACCCTGCTCTGCCCGCTATGGCTACTCTCAGCGTTTTCACATTCGATCCTGAGGGCCGTCCGATCACAGCTGTTCCTACAAAGCGATTCTAGAGACGGCGTTTCGTTGTTTGACCACAGGTCTGGAGCCTCTCTCGCCCCTCCCGACACAGCTGACTGTGCGACTCGCTCACAGTGGCTTACCCGTGACGCTGCTGTCAGAACCATATTGTAGGCTGTAGTGGGGTTGACAATATGGGGTACAACTCTTTTAGGTTTTCATATTTGTACCCACCTGCTTCCTAGTTGATCTCATTCCTCGTACTTTTCTCACATGGTATAGAGCGGGTTCCCTAGTGGGACCGTTTTTTTTTTTAGGGCCCACCACTTGAAAAAAAAAAAAAACAAAAAAAAAAAATCCTGCCCTGCCCGAAGCGTGCATCGAGCTCTGCCCTACGGCTGCCCTTAGCGGCCCGCCCTGCCGTCGCGGCCCTGCGCGGCCCGCCCGCCCCTTCGTCGTGGCCCTGCGCGGCCCGCCCGCCCCTTCGTCGCGGCTATGCGCGGCCCGCCCGCCCCTTCGTCGCGGCCCTGCGCGGCCCGCCCGCCCGTCGTCGCGGCCCTCCATGGCCCTCCCGCCTCGTCGTAGCGGCCCCTTACCCTGCAGCAGCCGCCGAGGCCTTGTGGCCTGCAGCAGCCGTCACCCCTACTGCCGCCGTAGCGGCTCTGCTGCCGCCGTCGAGCCTGCAGCCGTCGGTGCGACCGCCGCTGTCGTCGCTGCTGCGGCCCCGCTGTCGCGGCCCTGCCCTGCTGCCCTGACGCGGCCCTGACCTGCCGCCGAGCCGCGGCCCTGCCCTGCCGCCTTGTTGCGGCCCCTACCCTGCCGGCGCGCCACGGCCTGCTGCTACTGCTGCTGCTAGGCTACTGCTGCTGCTGCTGCAGTCATGGCTAGCCCTTATGTCCTTACCTTCGATGCTGAGGGTCGAGCGGTCAATTTTGAGGTCTGGGTCGTTGATCTGCAGCTCTTTCTGCAGTGCAATAGCAAGGATGGAGTCTCTCTTTTTTATCTCACGTCTGGCGCCTCTGCTGCACCTGCTGCCGATGCTGACAGTACTGTTCGCTCGTAGTGGACCACGCGCAATGCTGCTGCCCGTCTTGCTATTCGCAGTCACCTGCCGTCTGCTGAGCGCGTGCACTTTAGCCAGTACAAGACCGCTAGGACTCTGTACGACGCTGTTGTTGCGCGCTACTCCTCCCCTGCCACTGCTGCCCTTAGTCGCCTCATGCTGCCGTACCTGTTCCCTGACCTAGCTGCTTTTGCCACAGTCGTTGACCTCATTACGCACCTCCGCACTAGTGACACCCGCTACCGCGCTGCGCTTCCTGCCGAGTTCTGCGCCGCGAACCCCCCCCCTATGTACATCACTCTCTACTACCTCGTCACCCTGCTCTCTGACTCCCTTCGCTCGGTCAGGGACCACTTCCTCTCCCTTTGCCCCACCACGCTCACCGTTGACCTCCTCGAGGAGCGCCTCCTTGCAGTAGAGAAGAGCATATTCGCTGTAGGAGCCTCTCGTGGTGACCCTCGTGCCCCTTTCTTTGAGGGGTGCTTCCCCGTCCCTCTTTTGCCCTCTGTTGCCTCTGCTGCTACTGTCGACCTCGTTGGCACCGAGTCGGTCGGCGCTGCGTCTGCTCCTAGTGGGAGGCGCCGCGGCGGCAGGAGCAAGGGGGGCAAGGGTGCTGGAGGGGATGGCGGGGGCGGCGGTGGTGGCGGTGGAGGCGGCGGAGGGGGTGGGGGTGGAGGTGGGGGTGGTGGCGGGAGTGGGGGCTTCGGTAGCGGTGGTGGAGGTGGAGGCGGCGGAGGCAGCGGCAGTGGGGGTGGCGGCGGCGGTGGCGGTGGGGGTGGCGGCGGCGGTGGTGCTGGTCGCGGTGGCACTGTGCAGCGGGGAGGCTTTGGCGGTGGTCAGCGCCAGCAGCAGCAGTGCCCTCGTGAGACTCTGTCGCCCCAGCAGCTTCGTGAGTGGTACGCTGAGCGTGGGAGGTCTGGGGGTGCTGGTCCCTGCGCTTACGTTATCCGCACCAGCGACCGCAGTGGGGAGACGTGCGGAGGGCCGCACGCCACGCAGCGCTGTTTTGGCCGCCTGACTGACGCCTGGCGTACACAGTTTCCTGACTCCACTGAGATCCCACGCTGGGGTGATGTGTTTAAAGCCCGCGGCCCAAATTGCAAGCCGCGCGGTTCAAGTTTTTAAAACTTGTTCCCTTGACTTTCGGGCTACCAAGTTTCTGGGAGACAGAGGTCCGCGCGACACAACTCAGGCTGTGAGCCAATGCGAGTTGACTACCCCTAAGTTGTGAACCAATGAGATTGAACACAATTGTCTTCAGTCGCAAACCAGGGTTTGGCAGAACCAGCACACACCCAAAAACTTCGGCCATTATCTCCGATACTCAGATTTTTCCTGAGCGCGTTCTCAGGTGTAATCACCAACAGAAACACAGTTTCTCGATATAGTGTGAAGCTATTCTGGCTCATGTTTGTATACAGTCACTAAAAAAAAAGGAATTCTAGCACTTTCAAAAAAAAAAATATAATGCCCGTAGCGAACCTATATGATTTCCGGGAAGGATCGACCCTAAATACCGAAAGCCTCCCAATATTTTGGAAAACATATTGCAACCCACTTGACAAAAAAAATAATACCCACCTCGGAAAGGGATGTGACTCGGGAGGCATCAACCCTAAAAACAATGCCCATTCCACAGTGCCGGTAGTCCAAGCCCATGGACCACAGTGCCGGTAGTCCAAGCCCATGGACCACAGTGCCGGTAGTCCAAGCCCATGGACCACAGTGCCGGTAGTCCAAGCCCATGGACCACAGTGCCGGTAGTCCAAGCCCATGGACCACAGTGCCGGTAGTCCAAGCCCATGGACCACAGTGCCTTTCGGGCCAGAATGTCGAGAGCGAACCCGGGCGTGCCCTGGGGGAACACAGCACAATCTAGTGCTATGTGGCCCTGGGGGGACAGGAAAAAAAAGGGAGGGGGAGGGCAGGGGAGGAGAGGGGTTGTGGCTGCCAAACTGCTGCTCTGATTCTGTGCTGCTCTGCTGGTCTGTGCTCTGCGGCCCCTCGAGCACGTTCAGCCCAGCGCCCACGCCATGCCCCGTGCCGTGAAGGCAGTCCAGCCCCATGCCCCACAATGCCTTGCGGGCCAGAATGTCCAGGGAAAATCCGGGCGTGCCCTGGGGGAACACCGCACAATCTAGCGCGATATGGCCCTGGGGGGAGAGACGGGAATGGGGGGAGGGGGGCGGCAGGAAAGGAGAGGGGTTTACGGCTACTACTCTGTTGCTCTGTTCTCTTTGGCCCCTCGTGCACATTCAGCCCAGCGCCCACGCCGTGCCCCGTGCCGATAGTCCAGCCCCATGCCCCACAGGGGGCTTCGGGCTAGGATTTCGAGCGTATTTTGAGGCGCCTCAAAATACACCTCACAGGTGGCTTCGGGCGAGAATGTCTAACGCGAACCCGGGCGTGCCCTGGGGGAACACAGCTCGATCTAGCGCTATGTGGCCCTGGCGGGAGAGCAGAGGGGGAGAAGGAGGGGAGGGGAGGAGGGGGCCTTGCTAACCAGCCATGCCATAACAGTAGCCCAGCCCCATGCCCCGCAGTGGCCTCCGGACTAGAATGTCCAGGGCAAAACCGGGCAGCACTCATTCTCACCTGACAGCACTCCTTACCACCCGACAGCACTCTTTCCTCACCCGCAGCACGCGTGTGTAGCACTCCTTTTAATAGTCGGAGGGAGTCTTGAAGTAAACAGTGCGCGTGATGTCTGTTGTGCCATGTTATTCGACTAGAAACACACCTAACTTACCACCTGACAGCACTCCTCCTCACCTCACAGCACCCCTCACCTGCAGCACGCGTGTGTGTGTAGCACTCCTCATAGTCGGAGGGCGTCCCGAAGTGAACAGTGCGCGTGATGTCTGTTGTGCCGTCCACATACTGTGCTCCGCTGTCCAGCAGAAGCATCCTGGAAGGATCCACCACCGCACAGTTGTCCTCCTCGGCTCGGTAGTGAATGATCGTCCCGTTCTTGCCCGAACCTGCACGCCAGGCTCGGAAAAAATGAACGAGAGGGATCTCATAGGCTTGTCAGAGCATCTGCGTCGCATGAAATGCTTGGAACCAGCATTGCTATGAGCACAGCAACACCGCGACAGAAAGGCTGCGCGACGCAAAGGGGGCACCCCTTTAGTGCCCTTTCTGTGCCCCAAAGGGCACTATCCAACTGACACCCCACCCCACCTGCAATGGTATCAAAGCTGGTATCGAGGAACCCCTCCTGCTGTGCGAGGAACGCCTCGAGCCTCTCCCCCAGCTCCACCTCTGTCACCGCCCTCCCCTCCTCCACCACCGCCCTCTCCGCCCACTCCCAGAAATGCGCCATTGCCACCGCATCCCTGGGGGAACGGTTGCAGAGGAAGGGATACAGTTGAAAAGGGAGAATGGGAGAAACGAAAGCGGAACGACCGATTTGAAAATGGTCTTTAGGGGCCCAGCATCCGCTCCACCCACAGTTGGTCTTTAGGGGCCCAGCATCCGCTCCACCCACAGTTGGTCTTTAGGGGCCCAGCATCCGCTCCACCCACAGTTGGTCTTTAGGGGCCCAGCATCCGCTCCACCCACAGTTGGTCTTTAGGGGCCCAGCATCCGCTCCACCCACAGTTGGTCTTTAGGAGCCCAGCATCCGCTCCACCCACAGTTGGTCTTTAGGGGCCCAGCATCCGCTCCACCCACAGTTGGTCTTTAGGGGCCCAGCATCCGCTCCACCCACAGTTGGTCTTTAGGGGCCCAGCATCCGCTCCACCCACAGTTGGTCTTTAGGGGCCCAGCATCCGCTCCACCCACAGTTGGTCTTTAGGGGCCCAGCATCCGCTCCACCCACAGTTGGTCTTTAGGGGCCCAGCATCCGCTCCACCCACAGTTGGTCTTTAGGGGCCCAGCATCCGCTCCACCCACTCCCAGAAACATGCCATTGCCACCGCGTCCCCAGGGGAACAGGTGCAGAGGAAGGGATACCGTTGAAAAGGGAAAAATGGAGAACGGAAGCGTGAACCAGGCATCACGGCAACACGGGATGCTTGGTGCCCGTGAACCAGGCATCACGGCAACACGGGATGCTTGGTGCCCGTGAACCAGGCATCACGGCAACACTCTCCGAACCTTCTCTCCCCCCTTGTGCCTGCATCCCCTTCTTCCCCAACTCTCATCCTCTCGCCCAGGCTTGCACTGGGGTGGTCACACGCAGCACTACCGAACCCTTCCAGTGCTGGCCCTTCATCCTTTCGATCTCAGATTGGCGTGGTTAGGCTCAGCACTTGAGGGCCTTCAGGGCCTTCATTCATTCGCTCCCCTCCTCCAATGCCTTCCGGTTTTTAAGTTTCACTCATCTGATATGGGCGTTCTTCATCCCCTCAATCTCCGATTCATTCTTCAGCGCTTTGGCCGGAGAGATAGGCGTGGTGCGACTCAGCACTGCCGGCCCTTCCACTGCCACCACTGCCCCCCTATCCACCCCCTTCCCTTCTTTGAGTCAAGTAGAAGACCCCACTCACCTGATAAGAGTAAATGCTTGAGACGTCTCAAAAACTCTATCCAACCCCTCCCCTTTTTCGAGTCAAGTAGAAGACCCCACTCACCTAATGTGCGCGTTCTTCATCCCCTCAATCTCAGACTCGTTCTTCAGCGCCTTGGCCAGAGAGATGGGGGTGGTTCGGCTGAGCACTGCCGGCCCTTCCACTTCCTCCCCGCCTGCTCCCCCTCGCTCCTCCTTCCCCTTCCCTCCCTTCCCCTCCTTGCTCTTTTTCTCCCCCTTCTCGCCCTTCTTCCCCTTCTTTCCCCCAAACCCTCCCTTCCCTGACGCTCTCTGTTCGTAGTACTGAGCGCAGGCGGCTTCAACAGAGCAGAGGACCGCAGAGGAGGCGGAGGAAGGGTCCAGCCACAGGCGAGCCCCGTGTGGCAGGGAGGCCGTTTGTGCTGTCGGTGTCGTGGGTGGTGGGGGAGGTGGGCGAGGGGGGTGTGGGTGCAGGGGAGGTGAAGCGGATCACTGCCTCTTGGGGGGCTGATGGAGGCTTTGAGAAAGTGGAAGGCGAGTGGTACAGGAGACAGGCGTAAAGCAGCAGCGGCAGCAGCAGCAGCGGCGGCGGCTGGGTTTATGCGCCTTGCCACGAGGGCTGATGGGGGCTTTGACCTCATGTGATGAGTCGATTTAGCTTGGGTGTGATGAGTCGACTCAAAAATCGACTCGTCACACCCAAGCTAAACCAGTACAACTCTCACCACACTCAAGACTCAAAACGCACCACGTTGAGCAGCCATGAGACCTCATCCAGAGCCAACGCCAGCAGCACCGTGGCGCCAGCGTCTCTCATCTCCGCCTGCAGCTGCTGCAGCCATACGTCATATAGACCAGTGCAGCACTCACCACGTACTCAGGATTCACCACATCGCCCGTTCCGAGGACTCAAGAATCAAGACTCAGTCACTCACCACGTTGAGCAGCCATGCGACTTCATCCAGAGCCGACACCAGCAGCGCCGTGTCACCGGCGTCTCTCATCTCCGCCCAGCACATACGCACCTCCGCCCCCCACACGACGTCAACAGGGTCGCTCTAGCGCAGCAGCGGGATGATCGACCCCTCACACTCCCCCCGCCCCCCCCAGCACACCCACCTCTGCGGCCCCCACTGGCCCTCCCCCTCTACCCACTGACCTCCGCGCCCCAAACCACGTCAACGGGGTTGCTCTCGCGCAGCAGCGGCACCACCACGGACGACGACGCTGCCAGCGTGTCCGCCAGGCCCCTCACGTTTTCAGCCGAATGCACAAACTGAAGGCGAAAGAGGGAGGGGGGAGGGAAAGAAGAGGGGGAAGGATGAACACATACGCACGCTGCAAGCGTGTCCGCCAGGCCCCTCACTTTGTCTGCCGAGTGCACAAACTGGGGGCGGCGGGATGGTGGAGGGTGAAGTGAGAGAAAGGGGGGGAGGGATACTAGACTCAAATGCTGTTAGAGTGTCTGCTAAACCCCTCACATTCTCGGCTTGCGCCAGCCACTCCGCCACAGGACGCGTTCCGGGCATCGCCCCATCGCTACCGACTCTATCTCCATCTGTGCCACCTCTCTTCCCCCGCCCTATATTCGAGTGACTTTGGAGAATTCTCAAAAGCCACAGGACGCGTTCCAGGCATCGCCCCATCGCCCCATCGCTACCGAATCTATCTCCATCTGTGCCACATCTCTTCCCCCGCCCCCCTTATTCAGCCTCCCCTCGCTCCACACTCTGCTGCCCGGGCGCACAGCTTCTGCCAGCCAGCCCGCGGCATAGGGCACGCAAGCCACCCCCCCTTTATCAGTACCGACTCTAACCCCCGTCATTGCCATTGCCACCCCCCTTTCCCCAAGCCCTTCCCCCTGTGAATACCGGATCAACGCCCGCTCTGCTGTCCGTGGGGAGCGCTTCCGCCAGCCTCCTACCCCAAGCCACCGCCCCCTATTTCCCATCCTCCATGTTGTTTACCGGGTCCACCCCCACTCGCCCCTTTTTCCCATCCTCCATTCCACTTACCGGGTCCACCCCCACTCGGCTGCCCGCGGGGAGAGCTTCCGCCAGCCAGTCCGCGACGGAGGGCACGCCGGGCATGCCCGCGCGCATGAGGTCCCAGCCCGGCGGAAGCTGCTGCTCCGCCTGCAGGAAGTAGCGCCCGTCCGTCCACAGCAGCGCGCGCTCGCGCGTGACCACCGCCGTGCCCGCGGAGCCCGTGAAGCCCGAGATGAACGCGCGGCGCTCGAAGCACGGCGCCATGTACTCGCTCTGGTAAGCAGGGGGGGGAGGAGGGGGGAGGTAAGAAAGAATGTGACAGTACCGCTCTCTGGTTACCACCGCCGCGCCTGGTGATGGCGCTGGTGTAGATGGCACAAGGCCATAACAAAAGGGCCGAGAGTAGCATGCTTATATCGAGCAACGAGGCGAATTCTGTTCGGAGCCTAGAATGCGCAGGTTACGGGAAAGTAACCTGGTGCGGGTCTTCCGACGGGATGATAAAGGCGTCGACGCCCTTCCCCCCATCCACTTCCGCCATTACTTCCCGCAACCGGCGCAAGCGTTTCTCCAGCTCCTTCCCCCGCTTCTGCGCCTTCTTCCCCGCATCCTCCGCCTTCTTCCCTGCATCCTCCGCCTTCTTCTCCGTATCCCCCGCCGCCGTATTCTCAGCTACATTCTCCCCGTCTGCAGCTGTTTTTGCGTCGGCGGAAGGAGAAGAGCGTTCGGCGGAAACTTCCTCAGCGCCGATTTTCCGTGCGCGCGCAGAGCAGGTGAGGAATCGACGGCGAGATTCGCTACCGGAAAACGCGGCGGGTGAAGCGGCGAAAGAGACGGACGGAGTTCTGGTTAGCCTTCCGGAGCGACGTCCATTTGGAATAGAAAAGGCACCGGAGGATGGACTACTGCGTGTGCTGGAGGCCACGCCGATAAATGTTCTAGAAACATGCGACGATACCAAGTGCATGGCAAAATCGTGAAGAGCGGTGGAGGGGAGAAGCGGGGTGGACTGGCCGAGAGCTAGGGTGAGGGAAGAAGCTGGAATGGCGGTGTGGCTTAACATTGTGGAAGAGGCGATGCGGAGAATTGACGGACGCGCGACCACGACGAATGGCGTGGATGCTGATGCTGACGCTGACACTGCAGCGGCTACGGCTACTCGCAGCATGCGAGTACCAGATCATGTCGATGCCCAACTTCTGGCCTACTCCCAAGTACACCAGCAATTCATGTCGACAGAGCAGCACGAGTTTGATTCGTAATATTTCACTACTTTACCAGGTCAGTTGGAACGACGCTGAATTCATTGATCCCAGTCGCAACTTCGCGTTCTCAGCGCGAAACCAAAAGCCAGTTAGGCCAGCAATAGCAGCAAGGACGAAAAAGATGCCCGTTAGCGGAGGTAGCCTCGGGTAGTTATAGAGCTTCCAGACCAGGGTGATGAACGGAAGGTAATGAAATATATCGAACGAATCGTACATATTTGGAAAATAAACCTACTATACAATACATTAGCAGCCCACCAATTCACAGCCCACCGAATCGCAGCCCACCAAGGGAACGACGGAGTACGTCCGTTACCATCACATACGAACTAGCGAAAGATCGCGAATTTAGTTGAGAGGCTCCATGGGGAAGTTCTCGACGGGGCTTAACTGCTTGGCGCGGTGGTACTCGGTGTACGCGCAGTCCACGGATAGCACGGAGCTCGACTCGTACATACGGGGAGTGCCGTCCAGGAACCCAGCACCCTCGGTGCTTTCTGCTGAGATCGGACGGTGCAGGGTCGCGATCATCTTCTGGAAGTCGGCGGCGCGCGCAGCGTGGTCGGGGCGGTACGTCTGGCCGAGCACGCCGTGCACGTCGTCGGTGTGCTCCATCTCAACGATCCCGACATTAATGTGCGCCTCGGCCTCGGTGGGCGTCTGCAGCTTGGGGTTGGCGACACGCAGACGCAGGTCGAGCGTCACAAGCCCGTCGATGACGAGCGTGTAGTAGTCCACGTCATACGGGCCCTCCTTCTCCAGAGCCGCGAATCGCAGAGTCAGACCGCCCTCGGTAGTCACCTCGTCACCCACGCTCATCCTCGGGATCTCCTCGCCGTCGATCTCGATCGTCTTCATGAACCCATCACCGCGCTCCTGCTTCTTGCCAGAGCGCGCCGCGAGCCGCACCTTGTGGTCGGCGCCGTTGGCGAACCACACGATGCCCAGCTCCTTGATCCACGTGTGCACGGCCTTGCCGTCCACAACGAGAGCCGCATTCTCCGTGTCGTCCGAGTAGTACCCGCGCAGCAGCATGTTCACGTGCAGGTCCTTGTCCGTCAGCAGGCAGAACGCCTTGTCGGGGCGCCCGTTGAAGTCGAAGTGCGTGCCGTACGCGCCCACCAGATGCGGGTCGTCCTTGATGTGTCCCGCGGGGTTGCACTCGCCGCCCGTGCGCACCTGCAGATGAACCGGCTTCGAGTCCGTCGCGTACTGCGCCGTCAGCTCGCCGCACGAGTAGTCGATGTTGTCGTGCACCAGGTAGCACGCGCCCTCCGTCTTCTTGCCGTCGATCGTGATGTCGGGGATGTACTGCCAGTACGTGCAGCCAGCGTATCCCGCGCACGTGTTGCAGCACGTCTGCGGGGACGCCTTCTTGAGCGTGAGAGGGTTGCCCTTCACGTACACCTCCACACCCAGCTTGTTCTTGAGCAGGTTCGATGTCTTCCACTTGGCGGCGATGCCGCCCTTGCTGCAGTTGGCGGGCGTGCACGCGCCGTCCCCGGGCTTGCCCAGGTCCTTGTGGCACTTCATTTTGTTCCATCCGGCCACTTTCACGTCCACCATCAGCACACTGTCCGTGCTCGGGCTCACGATGGTCATGCCCTCAAACTTGTCAAGCCCGCCGGCGGCCGCCGCCTTCTCGATGCCAGGAGGGACCTCCGTAGCCACGCCATTCGCGCCCTTGGCATTGTCCAGGTTGACCGCGGGGTTGCTGGGTCCCGTCACGACGGATTGTCCTGCGGACGCCACCGCCAGCAGGACGGCGAACGACACGACGAACAGTAGGCGCGCCATTATGATAACTTCGTCTAAGAATCAAACTCGCGAGCAACTTTCGCAGGTTAATTTAGACGTTTAATCAGAAGATAAATACAGAGCCGCTCCTCTCCTTGACCAAGGTTATTGGTTGAAAGAATGGGAGCACTCCTATTTGTGCCTCGCGGATGCGGTCGGTTGGCTCGGCCGTTGAACTCCAGGTTTCCGAAGTTGGAAGATTGTTGCGAGTCGTGCCGCAGGGAGGTTGAAACCAGGTTTGGCTCAGGAGAGACTTTTCTGACAGTTCATTCAATCTGAATGGAACAAGCGCTCCGGCTTCCCCAGATTTGAGCTGGTTCAGGATGTATCAGGTCACTTTCCGCACCTGCCTCTGTGGGCTACGAAGCGCAGGGGCCTTTCCTGCCAGGATGGTTCACCAGCGCACAGTTCTCACCTGAACCAGGTAGTACACTGCAGGTGCTTCTCGAGGCAGGTGGCGTTATTTCTTAATGCGTGTGACCCCTTTACAAACAACTTCTCAGTCCCAGAAGGTTTGCACAAATCAGGGAGGATAAATACCTTGCTTGTTACTTAAAACCCGCAGGCCAAGATATTCAACCTTAGGAAGGTTGGTTGGGAGTTGCTAGACGAGTTGTTATAAACTCGGGAAAATCACAGGCGTTTTTGGGACATCCAACCAACACTAGGAAGGATGAACCAAATTTGGCCTTCTTGACCCACGGGTTTTAAGAGGCAATATGCAACCAGACAGAATAAATGCGAAACGATAATGATGGTTATAGAGAACCTGTTCAGGAGAGATAAAGACAATGTTCAGACGTTAATGTTACTGGTTTTATTGTGCTACGATAAATGCCTTTGACATTTCGAAGTTGTGAAGGGATTGTTTTGGCTGTGAAATAAGATAACTAGACAACCATCCATGTTACCTAAAAACACTGGATACTAAAGGAGACACTTACACATGACACATTCCGCGAACACGCATTTCCCCCTTCCTGCGACCCTGAATTCGGCTGATGAGAGATTTGACGGGGAGAATGAACGCGGGTTTTCCTCGATTTCCGCACGGAGCACCACCGTAAGCTATCCTTCCTTCTGCATCTGTATTGCCTTGCCTTGCGGTGCCTTGCACCACTGTCAAGTAGGGCTTTCACTTTCTGACCGCGAATCAGCATAGAAAGGAGAAGGGGTTCAGAGGGGTTACGGCTTTCAAGAGAAGAGATAGTGGGGCAGGTATAGTCACCAGAAAGTTGCCCCGAGTTTACTGGCGGCTTGAGTTTCCCGGTGTTGGAAGTATCGGGGGCAGATTGGTACGTTGGCGGCAGACCTTCCAGATGTGTCCTTTCTTGCCGCACTTGTAGCACACGACGATAGGCCTCGGGTTCCTCTTCCTCTTCTCCATCAGGTCCAGGTCCATAGGTGCAGGTTCTTGCAGATTTGAGTCCGTTGGAGTAGAGGGCTGGTAGGAGGGAGCAAACAGGAGAAACGGGCTACGAGGAAAGCGAGGCTTGTTGTATGCATAATGGACAGCATCATACCGTTCAGCCACGCGTATCATTTCCTCGAGCGTAGAGCAGTCCCTCAGCTCGACCTCCATGCGCACGTTCGTTTTCAGCCCGCGCTTGAAGCGATCCATCCGTTCAGCATCGGAAAGGTCCGGGATCTCTTGAGCGATGTCACGGAAGCGAGAAGCGTATTCTTGAACAGATTTGAGCTGCTTCAGAGTAGCCAAGGAGTCTCGTGCTCGGATGTTCGGGTTCACCAGTTGAAAGGTAGCAGTGAAGACTTGCTTGAATTGATCCCATGACTGGATGGTCGCATGCACGGATTGCCACCAGGTGATAGCAGATCCACGAAGAAGGGTGCCGGTGAAAGCAGTCCACTCGGCAGGAACTATGTGAATTAGGAGCAGGTATTGCTCAACAAGAAAGAGCCAACGGCTCACGACTGGTTGGTTTCTCCCGCGAAAGAAAAAATCAGGAAGAGCGGGTCTAGCGCGCTGATTTCCGTCTGGCGGTGCAGCAGGGCTCGAGGTTGCTGCCGCCACTCCAGCTGCAGCTACACTAGCTTGCATCTCAGCTTGCAAGCTCTCTCTAACTTCAGCAACAAGTTGGGCTCGGTACGTTTCCAAGTAGCTGGCCCATTCATCACGAGAAGGTACCTTACTAGTCGTCATGACGCTGTTTTCAAGAAAAGGAGGATCGAAGATAGCTCGGATACCAAATGAAACAGCCACTAAGCTGATTTGGCAGAGTAGTAGTAGTAGGTAGGAGAATTCCAGAAAGATAGTAGCAAGATAGCTTTACAAGAGATCATATGATGGCTTACATTTCAGAGGTACATCCTATTATACTAGGATACTTGTTATAGTCACAATAGGCTTGAATGTGCCTAAAACGAAAGATAGAGAGCACAGACGGATTTCTGCACAGCGGCTTCAAACGTTGATAGCGTTCTGCTCACAGCTGCAAATGACTTGATTCAAATTGGATCTGGAGCGTCCTCACGTCGTCTACAATTAGCAATTTAGATTGCACAATTGGATAAAGAATTGACGACACAGCGTCGGTTTGAACGAACGGTACTATGGCAGCCACTATAGTCTTAGAACACAAGATAGGAAGAGTTACGAGTTGGGAATGACTCCCAGCTCCTACAAACCCCAAGAGCCGAGGTACAGTGATGTGGAACAGTGCCACACTGTCCCCAACCACGAAGGGTCTCGAAACTACCCTTCACTAGGGCCTACACCAAGTGAAATGTTACACTACACAAAGTAATGTAACTATCTTCAATATCTTGAGGTGTACCCTTTTGGCAAGCTTCGAAATCACTTGAGGCTTGACACCAAGGCTCGGGCTCTTCATCACAAACTCATCCTTGAGTTCTTGATGGGTCTGCTGCACACACCTGCGACACGCCGAACGTTCGACACAGGACAAAATAGAAACCGCGCACGACAAAATAGAAACCGCGCGCGAGACACAAACGACCGCGTAACACGCGTCTAGCGATAACTCGCTATTGACTCGACACACACACTCGACATCATGACTCAACATTCACACACAATTATGTCAGAACATCATAGCTCATGCATATTGTGTAGGCTATAGTGGGGTAGCCCATAAGGGGTACAACCCAATTAGGGTTAGTACTTGTACCCAACTCATTCATAGTTTATTCATTCCTTGTTTCTTCTCATGGTATCGAGCAGGTTCCCTAGTGGGAACGCTTCCTAGGGCCCACCACGATTTTTTTTTTTCCTGCCTGGAGCGCGCTTCGCTCCCACAGTCGCGCCCTCTCACGACCCCTCACGGCCCCTCGTGTCACCCTTAGCGGCCCCTTACGGCCCCTCGCGCCGTCCCTTACGGCCCCTAGCGCGGCCCCTTACGGCCCCTTACGGCCCCTAGCGCGGCCCGTCGGCCCCTTACGGCCCCTTGCGGCCCCTCGCGCGGCTCCTTCCGGCCCCTTACGGCCCCTTACGGCCCCTCGCGCGGCCCCTTACGGCCCCTTACGGCCCCTTACGGCCCCTCGCGCGGCCCCTTACGGCCCCTTACGGCCCCTCGCGCCGCCCGTCGGCCCCTCGCACCGCCCTCAACGGCCCCTTACGGCCCCCTACGGCCCGTCGCCGCCCTCCGCGGCCCCTCGCGCCGCCCCTTCACGGCCCGTCGCCGCCCTCCGCGGCCCCTCGCACCGCCCCTTCACGGCCCGTCGCCGCCCTCCGCGGCTCCTCGCGACGCGGCCCCTCGCACCGCCCTCTCCGGCCCACTGTCGCTGCCCCTACCGCAGCGGCCGCCGCCGTCCCTGCCGCAGCAGCCGCAGCCGTCGCCAGCAGCAGCCGCCACCACCTCCCTCGGGGCAGCGGCTGCTGCCGCAGCTGACTGCACCCGCCGACGCCGCTCCACTCGGCCCCGCCGCCGCTCCCCACGCGGCCTCGCCGCGCCACCTGAGCCGCCCGGGCCTGCCGAGCCGCCGTACAGCCCGAGCCGCCGTACCGCCCGAGCCGCCCGAGCCGCCGTGTCGCCGAGCCGCGCTTGCTGCCGAGCCGCCGTACCGCCGAGCCGCCCGAGCCGCCCGAGCCGCCGAGTTGCCGAGCCGCCGAGCAGCTGAGCCACCCGAGTCGCCCTGTCCGGTAAGTGCAGCGCCTCTGTCCCTGCACTGCCCTCACCCTACTGTTAGCGCTGCTAGTCTACTGCTGTCATGGCTACCCCAAGTGTCCTCGCCTTTGACGCTGAGGGTAGGGCCATTGACGGAAGTAGTCGTAGCTGTAGGGTCTTGTGCTGTCAAGTAATCTGCTGCGCTGTAGGTAGTTCTCTGCCCCGTTGTGTCCAGCACTAGTGTGCTCTCTGTACTTTGTTCCCACGGTTGGAAACTCAGAAAGTCGGGTCGCACATTTCATGTTGGAGTTCCAACATTGAATTCCCGAAATGTACTTAGGGTGTGTTCCGAATTCTGGTTCGGATCACAAGGAGCTGAGTTGGCGAAATCGAGGATGGCAAGATCGCCTTCGTCTTGTTACACTAGGAGGCGGCCTGATTCTCGAATCCCTAAGCAGTTTCAGATGCGCGCGCGCCAACGTGTGCGTCTACTCGGGCAGGTGGCAGTACGAGGCAACTCTAGGCTCCTCCAGCATTCAGCAGATTGGCTGGGCGGCATTGGCGTGTCCGTTCACGGCAGAGGAGGGCGTGGGGGACGCGCCCGACTCGTATGCTTTTGATGGGAAGAGGGCGCGGAAGTGGAGTGGGTGGTCGGCTCAGTATGGCCAGCCGTGGGCGGCGCATGATGTGATTGGGTGTTGTATTTTTCTGGAGGGGGATGGGGGGGGGGTGGGAGGAGAGGGTGCAGGTTCGGAGGCTGCTGCTGCTGCTGCTGCTGGTAGTACTGCTGCTGGTGCTACTGCTGCTGCTGGTTCTGCTGGTAGTGTTGGTGTTGGTGGTGGCAGAAGGAGTGGCGGTGCTGCTGGTGCCGCTGGTGCTGGTGCTGCCGGTAGGGCATCCAGTGGCGGCACGGCAGTGGGGAGAGTGACATTCTACCGCAACGGGGAGTGTCTGGGAGTGGCGTTCACAGTAGTGAAGGCGCTACAAAGGGGCCTGGCCTACTTCCCAGCCATCTCCATCTCCCACGGGGAGCGCTGCGAGCTTAACTTCGGTGCGCGCCCGTTTCGTTACCCGGTTACCGGGTTCCTCCCGCTGCAGTCGCCACCTCGCCTGTGCTGGTCCATGCCCTCTGCTGCTACAGATGCAGTGGATGCTGCTGCTGGTGCTGCTGCCACGGCTGCTGCTACTGCTGCCCCCGCTGCTAGAGATGTTGCTGGTGTGGCTTCTGCCCCTACCGACAGTGCTGCTGCTGCTGCTCCCGTGCATTCGCCTCCGTCTCCCATCGACCCTGCCTCACTCCCCACCCACGTCGGCCACTTCCTCCTGCCTACCCTGCAACCCACCTCGCCCCACCCACACTCCCATCTACGCACAGCGGACAGCGCAGCAGGTGCCCCTCGTGTTGCAGACTTGGATGCAGCTGCGTGCTCCTCCTACCTCCTCCACTGCCTTTCTCGCCTGCTGCACCTCACCTCCCTTCCCTCCTCCCTCCCCTCCTCATTCTCCTCCCCTGTTCCACATACCTCCTCCTCGCTCCCCCACAGCCCCCCATCGAGCCTGCCATTCCGAACCTGTCCGCTAGGCCCGGATGACGAGGTTCTCCTGGTGGAGCTCCTGTGTGAGAGGCTCGGGCCGTTGCTGCTGGCGGGGGGGGGGGCGCGAATGGAGGTGCAGAGACAGATGGGGAGGAGGGCAGGGGAGGGCAAAGGAGGGGGAGGAGTGGGAGAGGGTGTGGGGTCGGTGCGAGGGGGGTATGCTGTATAGGCCTCCCTGCTGCCTCTCCTCCTCCAACTGGCGCCTAGACAGGGGCTAGTCACAGGTGGGGGGGAGCAGGGTGCAAACAGAAACAGCCTACAGCAGCAGCAGCAGCAGCAGAAGAAGCAGCAAAAGCAGCAAGGGTGGAGGATGGTGGACCGAGTAATGGACTCGCTTCACCTGTGTCTGGAGGACCGTGAGTGGTCCGGGATCATTCCGGCCCTCATGGACGCCCTAGCCTTCTACTCCCGAACCTCCCTCGTAGGTTCGGCTGCATTAACAGTGCCGAACCTAGCCGGTGCAGGAGCAGAAGCAGTTTCCGGCTCGGGAAAACCCCCAGAGGTTTGGCAAGAGGGGCGGGATCCGTACCCGTACCTATCCCTGGCCTGCCACTTAGCTCAGCGACAGGAGGTACTAAGCGCATGGTGGGCTGCAGAAGGATTCTCCTCCAATCTAGAGGCATTTCTGACACGCAGGGTAGCCACGAGGGTGGATCTGCAGAGGGTGTTTCCCTCGCTGTGGTGGGCTGGCTGCAAGGAGGACGACTGCAGCGAAGCAGGCTTGCGCAAGAAGGCGCTTGTGAAGGCAACGTCTAGGGTGGAGCTCTGCCAAGTGTCGCTCTGCCGCTCTCTCCTCTTCTTTGTACCCTCTAAGAGCATGACCGGGGCTTCGTCGACTTATTCGCTTGCGACTGGCGGCGTGCTTGCACCGTTTTTGAGGAGCCTGATCCGCAAGAACCGGGCGGCGAACAGGAATATTGTGCTGCCCGGGCTCTCGGATAGTAGCGTGCTGGTGACGGTGTTTTTTGTCCTCTTGCGGCTGTTGTGGGCGGGGCTGGTGGGCCGTGGAGGCGGGAAACTGCAGAAGACAAAGAGAGCTGGGGTTTTAAGAGGGTCACATGTCTTAGTAGAATCAGGGAGTGGAAGAGAGGGAGAAGCAGAGGGAATGGAGGTTGACTTTGAAAGAGGAACGTCAGGGAGGGAGGGTAGGCGGGTGGGGAAGGTAGAGAGGGAGGGATGGGAAGTGGAGGAAGAGGAGGAGGAAGAGGAGGAGGAGGAGGGGGAAGAGGAAGAGGAGGAAGAGAGCGAGGAAGTATCAATGCTTCCGTGGCCAAGAACCCCCTCTGGGGCCATCAGGAGCAGCTGGAGGGAGCGACAAGAGGCAAGCAGTGCCTTGGATAGCAGCAGCAGCATAGCAGCTGTTACAGCCACTGCCACTGCAGGCATCAGCTTAGGTGCCACCGGCACTGCTGCCATCCCTGCAGGGGGTTACCTGCAGCGTCACAGGCCGTGGAATTTTCCTGTGGCCTTCTTCCTGCACCCGGATTTGCATTACTTTGACTTGCCACGCCTGGGCGGGCTGTTCAGCCACGTGGCCAAGGCCTTCCCCCTCTCCGCTCCCCAGGACTTTGCCAGCATGGCATGGAGTGATGATGACGTGGATGATGATCATTTGGCGGCAGGAGAGGAGGGGGAGGGGGAGGCGAGTGGGGGAACGGGGGAGAGGAGAAGTGAGGAGCGGGGGACGGGGGGAGGAGGTACAGGGGAAGGAGGGGGAGCAGGCGGGGGGAGGAGAGCAGAGGGAGTGCAAGAGAGGGAAATGGGAGGAGGGAGGAGTGAGGGGGATGTTGAACGTGAGGGGGAGGAGAGGGGTGAGGAGAAGGCGGAGAGGGGGAAGGGGGAGGAGGATGAGAGGGAGGTGCTTCTGCTGGACATGGCAGTGCTGCTGTTCCACCTCGGGCGTGGGTGCCTTCAAACAGGTCCGTCCGTCCGTCATTCAGTCAGTCAGTCAGTCAGTCAGTCAGTCAGTCAGCCAGTGTGCGTCAAGAGCCATGCGCTGAGTGCCTCACAGGCCATGATACTCATGCTGTTGGCTGCTTCTGCGGCCCGCTGCCACAGCACCCTCCTTCTCTTCCTTCCCCACCTCCTTTCCTCTCTTCTGAAGGCTTTTACCTTCTCGTCCTTCCCTTCCATCCTCCCTTCTCTCCGCTCCCTCCCCTCCCTTCCGCCTCCCGCTCCAACCCTCCCCAGGCGGCGCTACAGCAGCAGGGCATGGTGCAGGCGGTGGCACAGCTGGACGCGGACAGGCAGATCGAAGCCTTCCTCCATCCCTCCTACTCCCGCCTTCACCTCTCTCCCACTACTCCCTCTCCCGCCCCCTCCCCCTCCCCCATTCCCCAGGCAGTACTGCAGCAGCAGGGCATGGTGCAGGCGGTGGCGCAGCTGGAAGATGCGGACAGGCAGATCGCTGCTGCCATGGGGGGGCGCACGGAGGGAGCTGCTGCCATGGGGGGGCGCACGGAGGGAGCTGCTGCCATGGGGGGGCGCACGGAGGGAGCTGCTGCCATGGGGGGGCGCACGGAGGGAGCTGCTGCCATGGGGGGGCGCACGGAGGGAGCTGCAACAGGGGGCGCTGCAGGGGGGTTGGGGACAGGTGGAGAGGCAGGCACAGGGGCGGCGACAGGGGCGGCGACAGGGGCGGCAACAGGGGCGGCGACAGGGGCAGGCCAAGGGGCAGGGGCAGCGGCAGGGGCAGCGGCGGGGGAGGAAGAGGGGGCTGATGTGGGCGCTGCAGGAGCGGCAGCAGGGGCGGGTGTACCTGCAGTGGCAGCAACAGGGGGAACTGCGGGAGCCTCTGGGGGAGGTACAGCTGCCAGGGGAGGTGCATCTGGGGGAGGTGCATCCGGGGGAGGTGCATCTGGGGGAGGTGCATCCGAGGGAGGTGCATCTAGAGGGGCCTTGGGAGGGTCAGTGCGGGCGCAGCAGTTGAGGGAGGCGAGGCAGGTGTTCCGAGAGGACGTGGATGAGAGTGTGAGGCTTGCAGTGTGGTGGAGAGCGGTGCTGGGCGGTGCGGCGTGGAAGCAGAGGGCGCTGGTGGGGGTGAGCAGGAGGGTGAGCTCGCTGTTGCTGGCTGCGAGCAAGCGGGGCCACATCTTTGCCTATGTGCCCGAGGTCTACCTGGAAGCCATGGTGCGTTGTTGCTATGTTGAAGGCATGGTGGGTTGCTGTCCTGTGTGATCATGGTGTGCGGAAGAGGGGCACTAGGTGCTGTTGGCTGCCAGCAAGCTGGGCCACATCTTTGCCTACGTGCCCGAGGTCTACCTGGAAGCCATGGTGCGTTGTTATTTGAAGAAATGGTGGGCTGTTGCCTTGTGTAATATGTGATAGAGAGAAACCAGCAAGCGAGGCCACATCTTTGCGTACGTGCCCGAGGTCTCTTTGGAAGCCATGGTGGGTTGTTGTTTTGTGAGGGAGCTCAGTGTGCAACGTATTTGCTTATTTTCCATACTAGGTTGTTTTCTTAAAAACCATGGATTGGGAAGGATGCATATCTCCTCCCATCTGTCTCCCTGACTGCACTCGTCCCGCTTTAGTGCAACTTCTGGCTCCTCCTTCCTCACCTCTCCCTCCACTTCCTCTCCTCCCACCCCTTCCCTTCCATCTCTCGCACCTCTCCCGCTCGCACCACTCCAACTCGCACCTCTCCTGCACCCATTCCCCCCATCATTCCCCCATCTCTCCTCCAATCTCTCCCCCCTGTTGTCTCTCCAGATCGAGGCCTTCCATGCCTTCAGGCGCTGCGACCCGCCTCTCTTCCGCCTCCGCCACTCCATGCACCACCTTGCGCCCTTTGTAATTCCCACACCATCCATCCATCACGCCTTGTCCTCCTCTCACTCTCATGTAGGATACTTAACGAAGGATACTCAGTCTCAGTCTCATGTAGGATACTTAGTTTTTAGTTTTTTTCGTCTAGCACAGCCATCTGCAGAACTTCATTGCGTTTTTTTTCTCCTCCGGAAAAACCTTCGTTAAGTGCCCTTCGCAATAGCATGGGATATATATTTTCTAGCATGGCTTTCTCTCTAAGGAGTGATAGAAAAGCAACAGCTTCAACTTGGTCCACGCGCACACCTTGGTCCACGCGCGCGCCTTGGTCCACGCGCGTGACACGCGCCCTTGGTCCACGCGCGCGCCTCGCGCCCTTGGTCCACGCGCGCGCCTCGCGCCCTTGGTCCACGCGCGCGCCCTATGGAAACACCTGCACATGCTCTTACCCAGATCCCCATCTTCACTACACCGTCGCAAGTTTCTATCCACTTTCTCTTACTTACACCTGTCCTTCCATCTTTCTTCGACACATCTTGAAACCCCGTTTCAGATCCCCACGGAACAAATTCGTGTCTTTCTCTTTCTCTCTTTCACAGATATCTTTCCTGCTCACTAGATTCAGCGATGCAAGGATCGCCAATCCAGACACCAGGGATCAGCTGCTACAGACGCGCTTCGTGCTGCTACAGCTGTATCTTGTTCAAACCCCGTTCTACACGCCCCCGCTCTCCCTCGCAGATATCTTTCCTGCTCACTAGATTCAGCGATGCAAGGATCGCCAATCCAGACACCAGGGATCAGCTGCTACAGACGCGCTTCGTGCTGCTACAGCTGTGTCTTGCTCAAACCCCGTTCTACACGCCCCCGCTCTCCCTCGCAGATATCTTTCCTGCTCACGCGGTTCAGCGATGCAAGGATCGCCAATCCAGACACCAGGGATCAGCTGCTACAGACGCTCTCTGTGCTGCTACAGCTGCCGCCCTTCTCCGTCGCACTAGAGACAAACAAGGCCGCACGCACGTGCTTCATGCCCAGCCTTCTCAACGCATTTGACCAGCGCTTCTGGATACCCATCTCTCAGGTATTTCCTCAGGTGCCTCTGCCTCTCAGGAGGGTTCTGTCTCCCAGGTGACTCCCCATTGCCTTCACGTATATGCTCCTCCTCTTTTTCACAGCTCAGCAATTTCTTTCAACCCATTTCACGCCTCCAGGAGATTCGCCTTCTGATCCTTTGATACACAACCAGCTTGCACCTCTCTCCCCCACCCACCACCCAGATTCTCCTGCGTCTCTGTGTGAGCAACCCCTTCGGAGGCCCCTCCAGCTTCCCCTCCCTCTCCCTCTCCTCCTCCTCCTCCACGCCCTCCCTCTTCGCGCCTCTCTTCCAGCACTCCCTCCACCAGTTGTACCTGCACCAGCCGAGCCTCTTCTCCCCTGTCCTCAACCGCCTTTTCAACACACTCAACTGGACTCTCACAGAATTCCTAGTGGCGCTGAAAGAGGTGCAGGACTTGCAGCAGCAGGAGGAGGAGGAGCAGCGGTGGCGGCGGAACCGGCGGCAGCAGCAGCAGGCGTGGGAGCTGCAGCAGCGCAAGTGCAGCGTCATGTTTGACCTTACTTGTAACCTCGCCAGGCTGTTGGAAGTTCTCTGTGAGGCTTCTCCGGAGGTGTTTCTCTCTTCGAAGGGGGGAGGGGGCCGGGAAAAAGGGGAGAAGGCTCTAGAAGGGGGTGAAGCAGGAGGAGCAGCAGCAGCTGCGGGAGGAAGAGGAGGAGGAGGAGGAGGAGGAGGAGGAGGAGGTGAAGGAGAGATGCAAGGAGTTTCAGGAGGAGAGGAGGGGAGGGCCAGGGTGGAGCTAGTCACTCAGGGCGAGGGAGAGGGAGGAAGAAAGTCCATTGAAGCTGAAGGAGAAGCAATGACAGCACTTGCACCTGCCACCACTCCTGCTTCCTCCACATCCCCTGCTCCCTCTGCATCCTCTGCTTCCTCTGCTTCCTCTGCATCTGACGGCGCTCTAGATCCTGAGATGAACCGCATGCGGCTGTTTGAGCTGCTGCTCTTCATCCTCAACCACACGTGCTCTTCATCCTCAACCACACGTGCTCTTCATCCTCAACCACACGTGCTCTTCATCCTCAACCACACGTGCTCTTCATCCTCAACCACACGTCCTCTTCATCCTCAACCACACGTGCTCTTCATCCTCAACCACACGTGCTCGGGTGCTCATGCACGCGCTCTTGATGGGTAAAATTCTACAAAAACAGGTTGAATCGTAAGGTGAGGTGAGGTGAGGTGAGGTGAGGTGAGGTGAGGAGGGTTGAGGCAAGGATTGGACCGCCCCATCCAGCCCCACAGTGCTCGCTCCACCCATGGTTTAGCGTTGCCATCCTGCACTGTTCCATCCCATCTCCCAATGCCCTGCACTCACCACAGTTTCGTGCAGGGCCACGCGTCCCCATCAGACCGCTCCTCCTGTCCCATGGTGCTCGCTCGCACCCCTCATAGGCATCCCCTCATGTCCTTCTCGTCCTCCCTCCCTCCCTCCCTCCCTCCCTCCCTCCCTCCCTCCCTCCCTCCCTCCCTCCCTCCCTCCCTCCCTCCTTACCTCCCTCCACTTCCCTCTGCCTCCCTCTCTCACTCCTCAACTGCAGTGTCCTGGAGGACCACGTCTCACCATCCGACCAATCGTCGCGCCCCATGGTGCTCGCCCCCCTCGTGGGAATCATTGGCGGCCTCTTCTCGCACGCGCAGCGGGCCAATGGGAGCGCGCCAGCTGGCATGGTGCGGTCTGTGCTGCAGGCGGACCCCTCCCTGGACTGCCTGGCGGGGCTGGAGTACCTGCTGGGGTTGGACTGGGTGAGTAAGCAAGAGGGCAGTGAGGAGGGCGAGAGGGACTAAGAGGGAGGGTGGTAGATGGCATGCTCCAGGCGGGTCCCTCTCTGGACTGCCTATCGGGGCTGGATTACCTGCTGGGGTTGGACTGGGTGTGTGGGGGAGAGGGAAGTGAGGAGGGCGAGAGGGACTAAGAGGGAGGGTGGTGTTGATAGTGCTGCAGTGCAGACAGACCCCTCTCTTGACTGCCTGGCGGGGCTGGAGTACCTGCTGGGGTTCGACTGGGTGAGTGGGGGGTGGGAGTGTGGAGCCGAGTGAGTAAAGAGAGATGGAAGCGAGTGAGGGAGACATGAGAGGGAGGGCGGGGGTGCCTGGCCGGGCTTGAGTTCCTGGTGGGGTTTGACTGGGTGAGAGGGGGAGGGAGTGAGGGAATGAGAGGGAGTGAGAGAGAGAGTGAGAGAGGGAGTGAGGTGCACCCTCCTTTGAGGTAGAGAGTATCACTCACCCCTGCTCCCACTGCTGCCCACCTCACCTTCTCACTCTTCTCACCCCTCTCGCCCCACTTCCATCACAGGAGAGTGAGTTCAGCAGCCCACCATCAGCGTGCCTGGCGGATCTGCGCCTCTCTGTGGAGCAGCTCAGGCGGGAGCAGGCTGCTCGCAAGGCAGCTGCAGAGGCCGCTGCTGCTGCCGCTGCTGCAGGTAAGCGTACACGCATGGGCACTGGGTGTTGGCATGGGAGGGAGCTGGCAGCATGGGAATGGGCAGAAAAGGAACGGGCAACATGGGAACTGGCACAACCCTCTTCCTCTGTCTCCATGCCACTTTGCCCCTCCCTGCCCCCATCCGCCTGGTCTCACCTCCAATTCAGCGCTCCTCCCTTTCCTGCACCTCCCAGGTCGCGGGAAGAAGGGCAAAGAGCACATGCAAGAGCAAGGCACCACCGCAGAGGGGATGGATGGTGCTGCTGCTGGTGCTGGTACAGGGGAGGGGGAAGGTGAGGAGGAGGAGGAGGAGGAGGAGGAAGAGGGGGAGATGTGCAGCATATGCTACGCGGCTCCCAGTGACACCCAGTTCATCCCCTGTGGTCACTCCTCCTGTGAGCGCTGTGTGGCACGGCACCGCCTCAACAGCCCCCGCTGCTTCTTCTGCAATGCTGTTATCGAGCGACTGGCAGCGAAGCACAGAGTTAGGACACCTGTAGCAGTGTTGCGAATCTGAGCAGGTGAGCCCTACCTGTTTCATCTGCTATGCTGCTCCCAGTGACACTCAGTTCATCCCCTGTGGTCACTCCTCCTGTGAGCGCTGTGTGGCACGGCACCGACTTAACAGCCCCCGCTGCTTCTTCTGCAATGCTGTGATCGAGCGACTGGCAGCAATAAGTTGAGAAAGAGCGGACGAGGCTGAACTCCATATGTTTTACAAGTTGAAATGGAATGGTCAATGCTGCTGCTTCTGCTTCACCTGCCATGCTGCCTCAAGCAGCATTCTATTTTGTTTCCGCTGCTCACTCGTTTTTTCCTCACGGTTCGGCTACAGCAAATCTGGTTGTTGAATGTCTTGCTTGTGTCCTCTCTGCTTTTTTCCTGCTGATGATGTCTGGTTGGTTGGCTTCCATTCATCAGCTGGGTTGTAAATTCGACAGGAAGAATCATTCTGGCAATCAGGCAGCTGCTAGGCCCAGTGCTGGTGCCATGCGTAGTACCTGTACCGTATTCTCCCGGACATAACACCCTAGGGTATAGCTAAAAATACAGGGAAAAAATGGGGGGGGTCTCCTCATAGGAAAAAAATACATAATACCCGGGTCTTTACATATGGTATATTTTAGTGTTAGTGTGTGGGTGATTTGATTTTCATTTTAACATCACTGTCTGAGGTGCGAATGTGAGTTTCGGCCACGAACTTCATCACCCCCACGAAAATGTCATGTGGCACCTCTCTTGCCACTTGCAACGGAAGATTTGCTTGCACGTGGCCACAGCGAAGTAGTGGGAGGGGGGAAATCTCGTAGATTGTAAGTGAATGTACCACGAAATTTCATCTAGGGAGAAATTTTCGTGATATTCTTCCGTATTGCGCTTCTCGTTAACGACTATAATAACGAATTCGTAAGAAAAGGGGGTGGTATAGAAAATCAGCCAAAAAAGGGGGGTATAGTAGAAACGAGGTCTATCATAACACCCACCCCGCACAAGCTACCCGGGGGTGTACAATTACGGGGGGGTGTTTTGTCCGGGAGAATACGGTATATCCCTGGTGCTATTTCTTGGTCCAGGTTAGGACAAACTGTGCGTAGCAGAGTTAGGGTGGCTGGCTGCAGTGCTGAATGCGAAACTACCGTAGTGATAACGCACGCTTTGCCAGCAGATATGGTAGCAGCACAGCCACGTGGGCTCTGAAGTGAGTTATCATCCTCACAGCACACGTTGCTGCATGGTGGTTACTAGTGCAAAGTAGGTGAATGTGTGTTATTGTGCAGCGTGGGGGGAGAATGCATGGGAGGGGGTGTGGAAAGGCGAGGCGTGGAAATGGTGAGGATGATGGTGGTGCCGATGGTGCAGTTGCCTCTGGTGCAGTTGGTGAGTCGATGCTTCCTCGATCTGCATGACGCAAGAGAATATGCACTGGCATAGGAGAGAAAAAAACATGCACAGGTTGGGGAGAGAAAGAAATACGCACAGGCACGGGAAGAAAGAAGGTGCATGAGCGTAGGGAAGTGGGAAGCAGTCAAATCATGAAGCGTGAGATGAGGAGCTGAGTTGGGAAGGTATGTCATCCTGGAGAGTGGGGCAGACTAGAACTCAGACAAGAACTCAGAGTCTGTGGGAAGGTGTAAACCATTCAGGAGCATGCCCCATGCGCTGTGCCCTGTGATTTGTATCATGAGAGGCTGCATGCAAGTTCCAGCATATGTGCACCGTGTAGTACCCACCTCCACCGTTACGTGAGTGATCCTAACCGCCCGGAATACATCCGAAACCCGCCGCCTCAACGACTGCCGCAGCTGCTGAACCGCCTCCAGCCGCCGCTGCTTGTTCCCGTACTCGCTATAAGCATCTCCGTGATGCGCCGCTGCAGCTCCCTCCTTGGCCCTATTTTTGAGGCTATCTAGAGAGATGAGCACGTGAATGGAGCCCACTAGCATCTTGGGAGTGAAGGACCAGAAGTGCCGTTGCCGCACCGCCACCACTCCTGCCATCGACTCGATCTGCCATTGGAAATGGGATGATGGTTCGAGCATTTGGAAAAATGTGGAGCATTTGATTGAGAAGGAAAGGGTGTGGGGTATGGGGCATGGAATGGGGCGTGCAGCACGAAGAAAAATCAAGTCCAGGACAATCACGAGACCCAGGAGGTGCTTTTGAAAGCCTAGATGCATCTAGATGGAAGCGCTAAGGTTTTCTAAGCCTACTGCTCACCTTCTTCAGGGCAGCCAAAATTTGGTGTTCAGCTGCCCGAGGTACTCTTTGCAAAATAATTTCGGCTGAGTTTTGCAGCAGAGGGATGACAGTGCTGATGATGAGCGCTGATATGAATATGGAGCACGCCTGGTGGTGGTGGGGTGGAGAGAAGGGGGAGATATGGGGAGATAAGGGGGAGTGGAGGGGCAACGTTGCAGCAGAGGGATGACAGTGCTGATGATGAGCGCTGATATGAATATGGAGCACGCCTGGTGGTGGTGGGGTGGAGAGAAGGGGGAGATATGGGGAGATAAGGGGGAGTGGAGGGGCAACGTCGCAGCAGAGGGATGACAGTGCTGATGACGAGCGCTGATATGAATATGGAGCACGCCTGGTGGTGGTGTGGAGGGAGGGGAGAGAGTGGAAAGGGAGGCGCGAAGCGGAATTGAGTGGGAAGGGGCGAGCAAAGAGACGGCTGCAGATGTTTGGGAGGAAGGAAGGCTTCTAAAAACATGTGCAAGGAACTACCCATCTGCCAGCATGTGTCCCTGTATTTCCTTTCCCTTACCCATTTGCCTGCAGTCCACTCCTCAACGGGTCTGTGAGCATCCAGCCCTTGTACTTGATGAGCAGCGTTGATATCACCACCCCCACACTGCCCTCGAAGCATGTGCAATGGAATACCCCCTCAAGCAAGGAAATTCCCCTTGCCCCTTGTTCTCACCGGGTCTGTGAGCATCCAGCCCTTGTACTTGATGAGCAGCGTTGATATCACCACCCCCACACTGCCCTCGAAGCATGTGCAATGGAACACCCCCTCAAGCAAGGAAATTCCCCTTGCCCCTTGTTCTCACCGGGTCTGTGAGCATCCAGCACTTGTACTTGATGAGCAGCGTTGATATCACCACCCCCACACTGCCCAGTGTGTCTGCCAACACGTGCAGGAAGATTCCTGCAAGGAGGCGATGGGTGGGAAGGATTCGAGAGTGAGTGCTGGGCAGCAGGAGCAAAGGGATAGAAGGAGAACACGAGCGATTATGACTAGAGGAAACGAAGCAGCATGTGGGGAGCAAGAAAGAGCGGAGAGCCTACCATGCATGTTGTGGTCCACATGAGCACTGCCGGATGTGAGCACCTCTTGCACACATGCCTCTCCTCCCTCCCCATCTCCAGCTCCCACCTCCCCATGCCTGTGTCCATGTTCATGCCCATGCCTATGCCCATGCCCATCCCCTCCTCCTACATCCATGCTGAGCGATGAGCATGAGGAATCATGAGGCATGGCTTTACTCTCATAAGCATGCTCAAGCTCAAGTGAGTGCCCATTTTCATGCTCATGCCCGTGCTCATGCCCATGCTCCTGTTTGTGCGACTTTCCTTCCCAATCTGACTTGCTTTCTCCTACCCACTATCCAGCCTCACGGGCAGCGCCTGGAAACTTTCATCTCCTCCTGCAGCAGCACCCCCTTCGCCTATTCTCCTCCTTGCTTTGTGCACGGCCAAAAGTTTCTCTGCCCCTGACGATGGCAGCGCTGGTGACTCAAACGAAGGTGATGATACCGAGATTGGTGATTGTAAGAGTGATCTAGTGGTCATGGTGATGTTGCTCTTGGCATCTTCCCAATTCTCTTGCTCCCAGTTGTCCCCTCCTACTGCACCCTCCCCCTCATGCCTATGCCCGTTTCCATGCTCATGCCCATGCCCATGCCCATGCCCATGCCCATGCTCATGCCCATCATGCCCATGGTCGCATCCATGCGTATCTTTATGATGATGAAGAGGCTTGTGGTGGTCATGCCGATCCTCATGTCTTTGGCAATCATGCCCATGCCCATGCCCATGGTCATGCTTATGGCCATGCATATGCTCATGCTTATAATCATGCCCATGATCATGCATATGATCATGCCCATGGTCATGCCCGTGGTCATGCATATGATCATGGTCATCATGGACATGATGGGCATGGTTGTCTTGATGCTCGTGATGATGATGATAATGATGGTCGTTATGATGGGAGTGGGAGCATGGCCCACCATGGGCATACCCATGCTCATGCTTGTGCTCATGCTCATGCTCATGCCAATGCTGAGAATGAGAATGGGAGTGGTCATGCGCATGTGCATGCGAGTGGGAGTGGTCATGGGAGTGGGAGTGCGAGCAGCTACCTCCGTGTGCGTGGTGGTGGGCTTCATGGAAGAACACGAGTCCCACCATGTTCACCACCAGGCCTCCCACAGACACTGGAAGGCAGGAGGGTGAAGAAGCCAGGATCTAGACAGAAAGGGAGATAGGATTGAGGCTCTAAAGCACGCTCAAAAGCGAGCTCTAAAGCAGGCTCTGAAATAATCAAGCTGTTGGTTTGACTTAAAGCAAGAAACACTCATCAGTTTGGGAGAAACAAAGCCATGGACAGAAAGAGGGCGCACCTTTCAATGGACTCCAAGACAATGATTGCGGCGATGAGCAGAGCACTAGGAAGGCTGCATTCAGCCCGATAGCAGGACGTTTTGAAAATTCTGAAAAATCTCCTGCATGATCGAAGGCACACCTTTCAATGGACTCAAAGACGATGAGTGCAGCGATGAGCATGAGAAAGACCGCATTCACAAAGCCCGAGAGCACCTCAAAGCGACCGTAGCTGCAGGCGAGGAGCTGAGCAGATGGAGTGGGAGCGGGTGGGATGGGATGACACAAAGCATGGTTAACGGAGACGATGGGACACACACCCATGCAGCATCCAACACAGACACCGAACAATGCCAAGAAGCAAACTTCAGATCACATCAAGAGAGCGTGCCACGCCATCACCTGAACAGGTCACCTGAACTGGAAACCTAGCAAAAAGAAACTGAACGGTCTTAAATTCTTGAAAAGTTATTCACGAACCCGTAGGCAAATATGGAGGGGGAGTCGATGCGGGAGATGTAGGAGGCATAGAGGCCAATGGTGAGCGTAGCACAGTCGAAGAGCATGTGACACGCGTCTGATATGAGACCCAGACTGGTGGTGGTGGAGGGAGAGGGGGGCGGAAAGAGGGTGAAAGGGAAGAATGAGGGAGATGAGTCCGATGGCAAGAGCAGCGCAGTCAAAGAGCATGTGACATCGCATCAGATATGAGACCTAGACTGTTGGTGGTGGGGGGGGACGGGAAAGAGGGGTATGCGGGAGAAGGCTGGAAGAAGGAGACTTGGTGGGCAACTGGGACAACGCCAAAGTGGCAGGGAGATGGAGAGGAGGAGAAAGGAAGAGAAGGTAGAAATGGTCGTGGGAAGGGAAGTGGCAAGCGCACTCTGCTGTTGAGCCATGAATAGATTGTAACATAGCCCATGTATACTTGCATTAGTAGGCACTAGAAGCTTCATGTGATCTAGCCAGCGTATGGATAAAGATTTAGCTAGAGCTGATTCAAACAGTCAACACCTCAACCAGAAGCAGTTTAGTCCGAACTAGTCCAGACCAAGCATACCTATTCGAGAGGAAGCTGACAGAAAACTCGACGATCATAAACGATGCGTTGATGAGGAGAAAGACTGGCAAAGGGGGTGAGGGGTATGGGAGGGGGTGGGAGGTAGCAGGGGAGGGAGGAATGGAGTCAATAGAAGGGTGACGACGACGGTCGAAAAACAAACAAAAAAACACGGAAGGGTGAGAGAGGAGAAAGAATTGACGGAGGGCCATTTGTGGGAGAAGAAAGGGCAGATTCGATGAAACGAATCGGCGAAACACCCCTCTCAGTTAAATTGATATCTTATCGATCTATCACGGGGGACTAGAAAACAGAAAGTGAAAAGCTGCATGCACTCTCAATCTGATTCGCAAAGGCGACTGTGTAAACACGGAGAACATGGCTGACTATCTCCGACACTGGCAAGACTCAAAATCACATTAAAGCGCGAGAAAACTACTGAGTGTGAGAAAGCACTGAGGAGAAGGCATCGTGCCGCTACCAACCCGTAGGTAGGTACGCCTAAATCACTTTGAGTATGACGGGCATAGACCGAACCATATCCCCATGCCAGCATGATTGCAAAAACATGTGCTCGCTACCTGGCCCGTGGCCATACGTACGCAAATCGCCATGTTCACTATGATGCGGCACCTAGCCCATACGTACGCTCAATGCGGCGTGACTTGGAGTCGGACAAGACGAGATCCATGGCTCCCTGCGTTACATGTAATACCATGTGCTTGCTACCTCGCCCATACCTATGCACTAGTCCATGTTCATTACCCATAAGCCTGATCCACGGCACTATCATGCATGCACTACCTAGCCCGTGGGATACGTACGTGCAATACGACGTGACTTGGAATCGGACATGACGTGGTCCATTGCTCCCTGTGGGTGTGTGCACACCACATCCCACCACGGCATGAGAGGGCAGGAAACCATGCGTCAGTCACTCATCCAAGCCAGGCTCTTTTTGCCTATAAAAAGACCAGACTAAACCAAACAGGACCGAAACAAGAGCCAATGTTAACGGGGCGTTGGCTGAATCTGGCATGCTTTTGACAGCAGGTAAGGTAACCCGGCATCACCAGGGCACCAACCTGCCTGCTGCCCTTAGAACTCGTTCGACACGCTCACCTTCAGCAGCATATTAGCCCAGACACAGGGAAACAATTTCGTTTCAGCTGCACCCTAGTGCTTCTCCTTGCCGCACGAGCTCACCTGTAGCATTGCCAGAGCGGCGGTTCTGCGCCTCTCCTTGGCTGCCATCCCATCCTTTGCCAGCTATCCCGCTGACTTGCTGCGCTCTATGGCCGTGGACCAGTGCAGACCTGGTGCGTGGGGGGGGAGAGGGAGGGCAGGGTAGAGGGTGGAACACAGAGACTTGACTGGCACTTGACCCCGCTGACTTGCTGCGCTATATGGCTGTAGACCAGTGCCGGCCTGGTTGGGAGGAATAGGTAGGGGAGAGGCAGGGCAGGGTGTGAGACATAAGGTGGGTGAGGGAGGGGTGAGGCACGGTTGAAGCACAGAGAATGCTCCATTGAACGGCAGAATCCCTGTTGCCCGTTAACCTAGACTGCTTGTAAAAAGTAGACCAGTGCAGGCCTTAGGGCAGAAGGCGTACTGGCGGCATCGAAGAGAGACAGGCTGGGAATTGAAAGAAGCAACAGGGGAGCATACCCACGGCGAGGAGGGCGATGAGGACGAAGGAGAGGGGGCTGAAGTGCATTCGGTACACGAGTAGCAGTGCCACCACCGCCACACTCGTCACCAGCAGATGCTTCAGTGAGGATGGGCCGATGCGCAGCCTGCAAGAGGGGGGGAAGGTAGGGGAAAAAGGGGGAAGAGGGGGTCAAGGTGGGGAAGCGAAGGGGGTGGGGAGAGGGGGGGAAGAAGAGGGGAAGAGGGGGGAAGAATAGGCAACAGTGAGGTGCTCTTTAGTGAGTACAACAGTTTTAGGGTTTTCTATTTGTACCCCTTGCTTTGCTAATCATAGCCATTCCGTTGCATTCTATTTCTGAGAGATGTTTCATATTAGGCCTCCCTGATTTGGGGGAAAAGTTTTCCCCTCTATTATGGGTGCATATTTTTCAGAAGTATGCTACACTGATTGCTCAGGGTTCAGCAAAGCCAGACTGGTCAGGGTTCACGGAACGAAATCAATGTTGGTTTTCAAGTTGACAGCTGTGGGTCTGGTCACGTTTGCCTTGCAATGCGGAAATGGCTGGTGGGTTGTGCTTTGCTGTGCTGTTCCTGTTACTAGCCCGCAATTCGCGAAGGGTGAGATATGCCTCTCGACAATCGGTGGGAGGTGGTGGACATGGTGGAGGGTCGCTGTGTGACGCACGAGGAAACTAAAACGCGGAGGCGCAGAGCCATTTGGTGGGTGAGAATTTGAAGTTCAAACATCAAGTGACCGATTTGATTCGAGGGCGCAAAAGCGCACGTCGCAATTTAGCGCAAACAGATGGGAACAGCTGGCAAGAATGCGAAATTTCGGGGCTGTCAGTGTGCAATTCTGAGAGCGGTGGGGCATTTGGCGAAAACGTATGGTTCGAGCTTGGGCAGGCACAGAAGGGAGAACTCGAACGATCCCGCACATTTTGGGGCGGACATAAAGTAGTTGGTAAGATGGATCTGCTGGTCAGAAAGTTGCTGGTCATAAAGTTTTTGGTCAGTTGTTGTTGCAGCGGTGCTGTACAGCGGAGGGCAGTGGTACTCGTCGGTATTACGTCAGTACTACGCGTGAAAGGGGTTCCTCACATGGGTACAAGCAAAATCATGATCACACATATGGGGGGTTATCAAGACGAAATGTTTGGGAAGCTTTGTCCAGATAGCGTATCATTCAGGGTAATTACCCAAATAAAATGAGCCCTGCCCCACATCACAAACCAGGTGAGCATGCCTTCTTCCCCTCTTGCTGCCGCTCCTCCTGCCACTGTTGCTGCTGCTGCTCCCTATGCTGCTCCTGCTGCCCCTGCTCCCCCCATCGCCGCCTCCCCCATCGCTGCCCCTCCTCTCGCTACTCCCCCCCTGCACCCCGTCTTACATGCGGGCATCAAGGCGAGGACCCACCACATAGGGCGACAGCTGTGCGAGGTGCTGGCGGCGGCGGCACTCGTCGGCGTTGACGGTGTGGAAGCGCAGCGCAACATCCCCTCCTCACATAGACCGGCACACAGGCAGCGCCGACGCAGGCGGAGGGGGAACGGAGGATGGGGGGAGGAGAGGCCTTGTTTCATCAGGTCCTCGCTTGTTAGGTTGTTTATATATGTACTTCCTTTGGCTTATTTGTACAGTACACCTTGACTCGCATTGTGTCAGTTTGTCTCAGAGGTTGTCCGTTTGTCGCAGCTCTTCGCGCTGACCCACGGGCGCCACCGCTGCCCCTTCGCACGCGCTGCCACAGCCAGGGCGCTGCTGTTGACTGCACGCCGCCGCTGTGTCGCTTGCCGCCTCTGCCCTGTGCGAGCGCAAGCGAAGCTGCCGGTGTTGACTGTGCAGCCGCTGCTCGCACACCGCCACTGCCCGCACGCCATCGCTGCCCCGTGTGCCGTTGCTGCCGGGCTCCGACGCGGCTCACGCGCAGCCACTGCCCTGCACGCCGCCAAAGCCTTGTACGCCGCTGCTGCCGAGCAACGCCGCTGCTCGCACGCCGCCGCTGCCCGCGCGCCGTCGCTGCCCCGTGCGCCGCTGCTGCTGCTGCTGCAGCCGCAACTGCTACTGCTGCTAATCCCGCTACAGCAGTCACTGCTGCCGCTACTGCTGTCACCGCCGCTACTGCTACAACCGCCACTGACTTGCTGCTATTGCCGCCACTCCGCTAACGCCGCCGCCACTGTTACTAGAACTGCCACCGCCAAGGCTGCCGCATCCACCGCCCCTACCACTAAAGCCACCGCCACTGCCGCCGCCACTACCGCTACAGCCAACGCCGCCGCTGTCACTGCACCTGCCGCTATAGCTGTCGCCGCCGCTGCCGCTGCAGCTGCCTCCGCCGCTGCCGCTACAGCCGCCGCCGCTACCGCTGCAACTGCTGCCGCTGCAGCTACAGCCACTGCCGCTGCAACTGCCACTACTGACGCTACAGCAGCTGCTTGTGTGCTGCACTGCTGCAGCTGCCGCCTGCGCCGCTGCTACTCGTGAGCCGCACTGCCGCCGCTGCCGCCCTTGCGCCACAACTGCTGAGTGCCGCTGCCTCCCATGGCGACGTCTACTGTACTAACCTTTGACGCAGAGGGCCGTCCGATCGAGAACGGGTCCTAGCTTCTAGACCTTCACTTGTAGCTGCAAAGCATTACCAAGGGCGATGCCTCGCTCTTTGAGCACACGTCAGAGTCCCTTTCTTCACGACGAATGAAGCATTTTGCCCGCTTTCAGATAAGTGCGTAATTGTCTACTTTGGCGACATACTGATCTACAGCCCCGACAGGACACAACACTTACATAGCATCGAATTTGTTTTCAAGATTTTAGCCTTGAGAACCGACTTCTTACCAAAGCATCTCAATGTGAGTTTTTATAGGACAAACACTGAAATTCCTATGCCATATTATTTTGGCCATGGCATGGAAACACACTGGAAAACAATCGCAACGATTTAGGACTGGAACCCGCCGACCAACCTGACCGAGCTGCAGTTTTTTTGGGGTTTGTCGACTACGTGCGCTGGTTCGTCCCCGACATGGCGAAGATGACTGCCCTGCTGACCGACCTGCTGCGGAAGGGGGTTGAGTAGACGTGGGGGGAGAAAGAGCATGCTGCCTTCTCTGCGCCGAAGCAAACTTGAGCTCGCCGCCTGATCTGCATATCACCGTAGCAAGCAACGTCGCCGTCAGAGCCGTACAGTTTCACGACTTAAATAATGGCCTTCAGCCAATCGCGTACAAGTCCCGCAAGCTTCACTTGTCCGAACGCAACTACCCGATACACGACCGTGAGATGACCGCCATCGTGCACGCGTTCAAAATGTGGCGGTGCTACCTGATAGGAGTAAACATGACACTACGGATCTATGAATACCTTCGCTCGCTACAATACCTTCGCGCACAACCGAATCTCGACCAATGACAGATACAATGGATGGACTCTATGAAGTCCAAATTTCACCTCCCCGTTATATAAAAATAAGGTGCCTCAAATCTCGTCGACGCTGTCACCCGCCCCACGGCCCAACTACACGCCATACTCACCCAAACCAACCTGCTACTGACCAGAGTATCCACCCACGGCTACCGCACCGACCCGTTTTGACCACCTGCGATTCGTAGCAGCTGACAAAGGCCAAGGGAGTTTACTACGTAAAATCAGGCACCAAGTGCATCTGAGTACCGGCAAAATTACTGCTAAGAGAACTGCTATTGCAGGAAGGAAGCATATGTAGGGATTACCTCGAGCCATTTCGGGGTTGAATAACACGATAGAAGTTGCAGCAGTATTACTATTGACCGGAGCTGTTGACCGATGTACACCTACAGATGGAAACGTGCCCCACGTGCCAGGTAATGAAGATTAAGCGAAAAACGTAAGCGGATCAACTTCAGCCAATTCCGCCACACGAACACGCCTAGCAGCACGTGACTATGGATTTAGTCACAAGGTTACCTGCGAGCCCCCGTGGTAACGAAACAGCAATGGTCGTCGTTGATCGAGCTCATTTTGCTGCGTGCAAAAAACCAATCTCGGCTGAAGAAACCACGCGCCTGTTCATCGCAACCGTCGTTTGCCTGCACGAGATACTAGCCGCCATCATCAGCGATAGGGACACGAATTCACTAGAAACTTCTGGAAGAACCTCTCGGTGCAGTTCGAGATCGCTACAAATCTGTTTGTCCTACCACCCCGAGACCGACGAGTAAATCGACAGAACTAACCAGACCATGGAGCAGCCGATTTGTGCCACGTGTGCCGATCCCGCAACTTGGGAGCTACAGTTGCCGCTGATCGAGTTCGCCTAACAAAACGCCATGTTAGCAACTACGCAAGAGTCGCCATTTTACATATATCATGGGCAGAACCCTATAATGCCCTTAACACCGAATCCAGGCAACCCGACACCACGAGCGCAACGGTCTGCCGAAATTCTACACGCTGCCTGAACACGCGCAGGAGAGGCAATTAAAAACGAATGTTATGCCCAAAAGGAACGACGACCGCCACCGCCGCCCAGTCACATATTAGGCAGGAATCTACATTCTGCTCGACACTCAGAAATTACGTCTGCCTGTCGAGCAGAACGCTAGCACTACGGCCCGTTCCAGAAAAGCCATATGATTACGCCCGTCACTACCACCTCCTGTTATTAATCGACTGGTACACCAGCATGTCGTTCCACGCTAGTCTCCGTCGACCGTACATCTTGACCGCCAACCAATTGATACGACATTGGTCACCATCGATGACACATCCTGCATCAGAGACCATAGTCGACCCTGAAAAGAATTTGAACCATCGGATTTGAGTTGAATCTCGCTGCTCTCCTTTGCCCATAGATAGTTGTCGTTGGCAACAGTGACTTCAACGTCAAATTTGACCTCTGTTTTGTTGAGGATGAAATGTAGGGAGCCCACAATGCATTGACGACATCAACTGTCCAAGTACCAAATGTTGATGTCACTTCGTTCTTGTCTTGCAATGTTGGCTGTCTGAGGTGTGATGATGTTCCATGTTAGCAATATAGTTCCAATTTGCATCGTCTCGTTCTGTGATGAGTGTAGGGGGTGAGTCATGGATTTATGGTGGCTTCTTCTGAAGGGGATTCGTCCAACAATGAGTTCATTGAGGGTGGGATTACTGACTTCCTCTGCTTTGACTAAGCCTAGGCCATCCTTAAACCTAGTTCTTGAGCTACATTCCTGTCTCGACATGCTATAGAGCTAGTAATTTCCTGCCCACCAGCATGTAACTCCCGCGTCCTCCGCTCGTAGCTTGTCCCGTCCACCGGTAGCTCGTCACCTTCTGACCATGGCGTGTTCGGCCCATGGCGTGTGCACACCTGCAAACCCGCCGACGAACCCGCCAGCAAGCGTGCCGACAAACCCGACGACAGACCCGCCGACGGACCTCCCAACGGACCCGCCAACGGACCTGCCAGTGAGCGCGCCAGCGAGTCCTGCTAACAAACCCACTGATGGACATGTCAGCGAGTGCGCCGATGAACCCGCCGACAGACTCGCCATTGAGCACCCCGTCCAAATCCGTACCCCACGACCCGCACCTCGCACCTTCCGACCATCTTGTCCCGCCCCGCCCTCTCCCTGCCCCATTTTATCCGTGCCTCGTCGCCCCCTCTACCATGCTTACCTTTTCCGTGCTGGGCGGTGGTGGGTGTGGCGACTAGAGAGGGGCAGCAACGGGAAAGGCTATGGTGGTGGCAGAGTGGCGACTCAGAATGGCCACCCATGCCTTGCCTGTGGTTTGCCGAGAGTAGTTGCTGTCCGTTCTGTGCCTGTTCCGTCATGTCTCTTTCACCACCACTATCCACGGAAAATTATCGTTCACTTTTATCATGGGAACGCCAGGCTTGTGCAGCCATTAACATAGGTACCAATAGGCCAATGAGGGTGCCTAATGTTGTTGTCACCGCGTTGGCACCCCGGTCGCTTTCGACTCCTCTCCCCTTCGGCACGCACACCAAGCACCTGCTGCTGGGTGTTCAACTGCAGCCGGAAACCTACTCCATCGCGGGGCGTTCAATCGCGGTGTTTCCGCTGCTACTTGGTGCATGCTGCTCGTCGGCTTGAGAGGGGGCCCCTTTGCTGGTGTTCCCACGCCCGGTGAGGGGGTTTTACAAATGTTTCTCTTGAGATGGGAAGCTCTGCACATGGTTGTTCATATATCTGCCTCTAGTGTAACTTTAGTGTGATTATTCTGTAGGTGGTGCACCTCTCTCTTTGTTGCTTTGCTATATGTACCTCGTGTTCTATAATGAAGTCAACCATTCTCGACATTCTCCTTGACACAACTCTCTCGATATCATTGGTCTAGGCTTCTAAGCATAGGTTCGTATCTTGACATGAGCCCGTTTCTTCTTCAGGTTCCGTGAAGACATCTTCCCACTTGTGGTAGTATTGGATGCCTTTTAAAAGAAAAGGAGGAGGGTTTTGGCGCATCATGCAGACGAACACATTGCATTTTTCCTTGTTGTCGGCAGGGATGCGCGTAGGTACTTGGGTATAGCTGACAATCGCGAGTGGCAAGATGGTGGAGTTCCGCAGCGGAGCCCCTTGATGAGTCCTTGCTTTTTACTGGTATGATGTACGACAATAATTACTCGTACGAACATGTCATTAGGGAAGTGATCGCCGCTTTTCTTGA